AGGTCTAGTCAAATGGCTGTGGTTGTCAAAACCGTTTTGGATCCCATTTTGGTTGGTAGGTGAATTCCCCACCCAGTTTAGAACCTATTCTACTGGGGATTGGTTGATGTTCACTGGGGGTACAGGATTTTGACCCATGGACAAATCTAGGAAGTAAGGCACTCTAACGCGGAGGTGCTTTCGAAAACTTGCGCGAGGAATAGCTTACGCGATTGCCTCTTTATGAAGCTGGCGATGGAACGAGCACATGATGTCAACAATTTTACAGAAAGCCACACGCGGCTGGGTTAATAGCTGGAGTAAATCATGTACATTCCTCACTCACTTTACTGGCCAGGAGATAGAGGATGGCTCAGAATGGTAAAAGGAATGGACCTGGATCCCCTTGCCAAATTTCTGGTCACATGGCAAGGGATGCCGCTTTGACGGGAGGGGTCTGCAATCCCTTTAGCTCAACTAAGTTCCACTACCCGCAAACCGCCATCCCCAGAGCTTGGTGTCAAGGTCCCTATGGTTGGCTTCCTTGCGGCTTCCTTTTCTACGCCTCCAAATAGGGGCGCCACCGGCAGGCAACGGCGCGCGGGCCTGTCACAAACATTGAGCATGCCTAAGCCGGCTACAATCAACAAACATATCACCAAGCATCAAACAACTGGCATCTACAATTTGAAAGCCAAGAAGCAAAACTCGAAGACCAGTCCTTCATGTTGGATTGAGCTCTTTCACTCGCACATCCAGATGTCTTTCCTCCCGAGGCTGGGAACGGCTCCCGTTCTTCGCGTAAGTCTTTCCACATGGCAAGGGATGCTTAGGCTCCTAAGGGACGGGTCTGCAATCCCTGCTTTGGATCTTGCTGCTACCCAGAAATCCCCACCCCCGCAGGTTTAATGGGATACGCAGTGGCCATCAACCACAAAGATTGAGCGCTGATCATGCCCTCTCTTGCACCCAGTCCGACTGGGCGCCCGTCCGGCATCATCCCTCGGCAAAACGCCCCCCGGTGCCTAGTGCCCTGTCCTGCCTTCCGTGAGGCATCTGATGGTTTTTCCAGATTTGAGGCTCGGCTTAAGGCGCTGCTGGGCTATACAGTTGCGGATTGGATTAGCTCTAGTCATTCACCTCCCCGCCTTCCGTCCAGGCAGCCTCCGCTTGAAGGTGTTGCGCAGGAGGTAGGCTTTTGGAAGGTAAAGGATTTCGCAAATAGATTGCGCATTTTCTCTAGTGCGTAACATGGCACACCGTGCAAAAATGCTATATATTGGGCTCTGCCTAACTTGACCCATGCAAACCTAGTCGTGACTTCTTTTGGTCAGACAAATCTGAAATCATTTTTTGGGCCATTTTATCGTGTAGGCGGGGGCTGCCTTCATTTGATGGAAAGAACCCTTTCTTAGCTCGCTCCCAAATGCAATGAAGAAGGGGGCTGGTATACACGAAACACCGAAAGCGCATTCAAATGGATTCCTGGCACTGCAAGCTGGCGGCATGTTTTGGTGCGCAGGCAGGTTTGCATCACCTGTGCGCCCCGCCAAAATGCAGAATCACAAAAGATGGTTCATGAGCATCTTTTTGCTCGTGTCATGTTTCTGTGGAATCCTAATATATGTTGTGCTTGTTCGTTTTAACGCATCTATGCCCCGAGTCTGCATGTCTCTCAGCAAACATGCCCGGTGCAAACTCAGCTTCATGCTTGGCTGCTTGTCTTTGCCATGTCCGACCGGCGATACACCACTCGTTTTTGCAACAAAACCCAGCAAAGCTGCGTCTCTGCTTTACACCTGCGTCTTGCTAGGCCAAATCAACTTCTTCGTAAGTCTCTTTGTCCTGTCAAACCTGGCAGCATTGCGCAACACCCAAACTAGATTGCCCTGCTTCACAGGGGCCAACATCTGCGCGCAATGGATTGGTTACACCACTCAGAGGGAAATATGGCCAAAGGCAAAGGCACAATTGCAGGTGAGCCGATCTGGGTGATTTCTCCCACATCGCCATGACATCTTCCCCCCAGAAGGAAGCCCGACATGGGCCCCAAACTTCCGAGGCGATGCGTCAAGCCTACGCGATGCGCCGCGGAAAGCTCAATGGGCGTAGCATGCGTAGCCTTCGGAGCGAGCTCCGAATGGCGCTATGCGACTTCCTGAGTTGCAAGCTTTGAGCTGATGAGCTGAACCATTGGCTTCTGACTGCGCTCTGCATGTGTCGGTCAGAATACGCATAGGCAAATGGACCATAGACTACTAGACATGTGGACAGAACGCCGTGTGGAAATGAGGCACCAAAGGTGAGACGGATCACATCATCACATCTCATACATTCAAAAGCTTGCTTCAAACTAGCCCTGGAATTAGCTTGTAACCTTTTTAAGGAATAATTGTCCCAAACCTGTGAATTAATCCTTTCACTTCCATCCGAAGCTCAGGTTTCGTCTTCCGCAAGGCTTCCTTATTGAAGGCCGTTTATTTCATTCCTTGCTTCTCATTCGGTCTGGCCTGCAAGCAATGGCATTGCTTGCCGTGGGAAGCAATGCGCTTGCCGCATGATTTTTTCCGCCAAAGAACTGCGGAAGGCAAGGTGCTCGAGCCTGAGTCAACCCTCAGGATCGCTCAGGGAGTCCAGTCAGTCTGCCAAGAAGCTGATCAAGCGACGCTCAGGGAATCGAGCGTCGTCAGTCAATCTAACAGTAGAACAGTGAAGTTCCTCGCAGTCAGAAATCTCCTCGTTTATTTGAGGAACACAGCTGCGAAGGCACAATTGCTCCTCTACGATTCGGGTGGCCAAAGGCATACAGAGGTCACTGATTCTGAAATATCGTTCCCCATGCCTTCGACGCAATGCATTCAGGTACAAAGCTGCCATTGCTGATGAAAGGAACAGCAAAAAATCCAGTGCTTGAACTTCAGGCCAGCGTAGATTTGTTCTCCTGGTGTTCCTTATTCCCTTGGAGTGTCACTGCCCGAAAGGGAAACTCATCCGTTGCGGAAAATTGCTTATATCGAACTACCCAAAAATGACATCTAGTTGGACTCCTGGCCCTGCTTCTGATACCTCGCCCCCAGAAAACGCACGGTGACTTACAAAGCAACCAACATATGCATGATAGTCGCCCAAATATTTGTAAACGCTTTCAATCCAACTGCTCTGGAGCGGGACATAGTTTGAATTGTCCCAATCGCTCAACATTTGGTTTGACTAAAACTGCGCTCCTCAACAATCCAGGTCGGCTACCGTGCGTGTAGTCGTGCCTATGCCAGCAGCATTGACTAGAACAAACACATATGCGCGCGAAGTCTGATAGGCGTGTGTCAACGACGGCACTTCACGAAATGGTTTGCCTATGTTTGCTTTTGGACTTCGTCTTCAAACAACCCTGAAAAACACACGGACCTATGATCGCAGTTCGGCCCGCGCCGCACATGCGGTCTTGTGTTGCACAGCTCGGATCTGCTGGCCTTTGCTGCCCCTTAAAGACCTCGACTGGAGTGAACCCTGCAAGAAAGGAGATGCCACCAAAGTTGGGGCGGCCCCATCAGTGTACCATGTGTACCAAAGCTGCAGCCGTTGTTAGAGACAAACAACCAAGCAGAAGTGACATCCTGTCAGTGAGTCTCACCGGTGCTGCTCGAGAACGCAGAAAACTCAGGGCGCTCTTTTGTTGCTCCACAAATAGTTCTCTTGAGTCTTGGCGCCCCCGGTTCAACACGTCAACGATAAACTCGCATCAATTTAAAAACATATTATTACTTTCCGGGAATAGAGCTGGACGCCTGTCGGGAGTTTTCTTTTTACGCAGCCAAACTTCTGGTCTCCAGCTCCTTTGTGAATCAAAACGGCCGCTTCTATTAGGACTGTCCCGAATCTTCACTTGGCCAGGTTTGAATGTGGCACAGCTGAAAACTGCTCCAGCCTACAACTGGTGTAGCAGTAATTCACTCAGGGATCATTTCACTGAGTTCGGGCAAGGAATGACATTTTCATTGTGTCCACTGCACCTCTAGAATGAGTTTGGCACCTTGGGATACAGAAGTAGGAGTTCCATCCCCTCGAGAAAAAAAAACTTTTTGCTGGGGTCAGCCGAATGGGTGCCTTTACTAAACTTCATGCCCTAGCTACCAACTAGCATCAAAGCATGTTTTGACAGAGTCCATCCCTTTGAAGCAATTTATAGCCAAATGTGGTGTCAACACTCCTTTTGTGGATCATGATTCTGGGTTCTGTGGCAAGAACCATTACAAGTAAGGGGTTCAAATACAACCAACCCCAAGTGAAAAGCAAAAGGCTGACTAAGAAACGAAATGGGTTTCTGATCGGTTCTTTTCAACAACAGATAAGGGCGGGTTGCCATGTGTGCCAATGTCCCACAGGAGTTCCAAGCTACTGCACGGCAAGCCCCAAATCGGCTCAGCCATTTCGCGAAGCCACACCCAAACTCAGAGGCCGGGCAACTTGCGCGTCTGCCCCAGGCATCTAAGATGCGGCCTCTATCTGATGTTCAGCTGCAGCATTCCCAGCATACGCTCCGGTCACCACAGCGCCAAACACAAAACTACTCAAGAATTAAATCCCCAACTAATAAAATCAACAGTTAATCTCAACTTCAAATCCATCAAACTAATTGTATCATACGTTATGATATATCCAATATCAATATTTAGATATCAAATATATTCCACTAAAAATTAGCTAGAATGTTTTGCAAACTAATGCACACCAGTAACCTAGTATATAAAACAAGTGTTCCAATCGGGAAACACGCATGTATATCACGTAAAATTAAACATATTTATGAACGAAAACATTATTTCAAACATATTTGCATTCAAGATGCATATTTCTATATCTTCAAGTCCATCGGACCAAAATCCTATTCAATACTTTATAGAATCGTAATTTATACAGTATCTATACACATCACCCAATATATATATATATATACATATACACATATATATATATATATTCGTAGACTCACCATGATATACAATTCATAAAATACATGACCTTTGTGATTCCGCCTCATCGATTGCTTCTCTTGCCCTCTCACTGGATCACTTGTCGCCGCCCACCTGGCTAACTCAGCCAAATTGTGTGCGAAGCTTTCCGTTTTTCCACTGAGAAATGGAGGACATGTCCGCAACCCCGTATGTGTCCAAGAAGGGCACTCCCCCAAATGATACTTTTTCTTTTGATTTTCCTTTAAGCCGCCGCGCGCACCCAAATCCGGGCGAATCATAACTACAAATCCGGACCTTGGTACATAGGAGGGATTTCCAAAACAGACCAAAAAGACTTGATGACCAAAGGGAAGCCTTGTGGGACAAAGACCGAAGCACGCCATGTCTTGTCCAGCCTCAGAGATACACTGCCCGCCACGAGACTCAAGCTGGCTCTCTCGGGACCAGGTGAGGGTTGCTTCGCAACAAGACGACCCATGCCCCCAGGAGTCCGGCAAAACACCTCCCTGACCGCGGGCTATCAACCGCAGCCAAACGTTTTCTGGAAAATCCTCTGCTCCAAACAAAAACAACAACACCTCCTACTTCAGTTGGCCATCAAATTGAACCTCTGCAAGTGCAAAACATGTGGTTTGCTTGCAAGGGACACAGGCATCTTTCAAAATGCTTCGGCCCATTCTTCAAGACATATCTTTCAGTTGAATCATTCTGGCACAAGCATTTTTGCGCCAGGCAAAAAAACACAGTTCCATTTTGTGGATACCCTCGGCCCCGGGTTCCCCCGTTCTGGACATCAATCCGCTGGGTTTAAATCCACCTTGAGATACTCAAACAAACATAACACTGACATGGCTGTGGGTCAAAAATGGGTACCCCAAATGAAATGGCCCCTGGTAAGTGGAAACATGGACAAAAACTTGCGGTCCCCTGATGGTTTAATTTTGATCCACACCCATATCACCCCCACCAGGGAGACCGTTTGGGCTCATGGCCGGCTACAACCCAACCGCGCCTTGAGCTTCAGCTTGGCAAACTGCTTGCGCGTGAACTTCTTGGGCGCCACCTGGCGGCAATCCAAAACCAAATCCCCACCGCCCGAAAGGAACGGAAGTCCCCTGGTCTACAAATTCGGATCAAATTTTGGATCTTTTGGATCAATTTGTTGGTTGGATCAAATTTTGGATCAATTTGGAAGGCCGACTCTTTGGATCAAGTTTTGGGGCTCTTGTTAGCGCTCGCACCACCCCGCAGCCCTCGCAGAACCTCGTGGAACCCTGATGGAACCTGACCTCAGGGCCGCCCCGGACCACCCCACACCCTATCTGGGCTGAGACCCCAAAGCTGTCAGCTGTTGGGGAAAAACACAACCCAAAAAACAAGAAGGGACATGTCTGTGCCAACATGGAGGACGCTCGAAACTGGTCGGCTTCCAGTTGAGCCGTGTCCTAAAGCCATGTCGTATCATTTGTTGCCTTACGCGCATGGAACTGTTGCTTACGCACAGGTTGATATGACGCCGCTCATTTGAATTGCCTTTGACCTTTGACACCAAGTGCAGAAGCTCTCCCCTGAGCAAAAGGCCTCACTTTTGGTCTCATGGAAAAGCCAAACCAACGACCATCCATGAGGAGCCTTTCCAATTGGTTTGCCTCGATATCGACCTATTCGGATCTTTTGCTCCCCTGAATTCCCTTCTCAAAATACGGGACCCGTTTAAAAAAAAAGAAGGGAATCCAACCACTCTCAGGGGTCCATTTTGAGAAACCAAGCAAGATGCAAAGAAAACATTGGCACCGCTCACTTCATCTACTCTCCTTTTTGGCAAAATCTGTTTGGCAATTCAGTATACAGTATACCGTCTTGGAACACTCAACCAAACATTGGCTCTTCGAGTCCTCGAGTCCTCGAGCCCTGCCTCTTCCTCGGCCTTCTCCACCGCGTCCTCCTTCTCTTGAAGGATCATCTCCACGTTGCACGGGCAGTTCCTCGGAGGCGGCCACAGGCGCCCTGAAAATTCGGAATTCGGACGGACCCCCTTGAACACAGGGGTCTCCAACTCGCCGCGTCGTATTTGAGGGCCTTACGCACATTTGAAGGCTTAAGGTTGCAATTGCAGGACTTCTGAACGTGAAATGCGCTCCCCTTAACATCATTTCAGCATGGAATCAAACCTGGAGGGCTTTTGCCCAGCAGGGGGAACTTGAACTGCTCCCTTCAATTTCAGACGGTCTAACTCGATAAAGGCGGCCATGTAGTTTCTATCTGGAGAGGTTCCGCACTTTCAATTTAACACCCTCGAAAACAATCCACACATCATTGCGAACCAAACCAAACACAAGCCACGCAACGCTAAACAAACTCCAACCCGTCCAATCAAATCAGCCGCACACACTAACAATCACGAGACCACCTGCCTGCCAAAACAGACCAGCACAAGCGCCAGTACCAGCAGCACAAACTCGGCACCATCATCAACATCAACATCAACATCATAATCAACATCATCCTACCAACAATAACAGGAGCAGCAGCAACTAAAGCAACATGAAGGCAGGGCACATGTACGGGCCGATACGTCCGTGGGCACGGTAGGTGCGTCGGCGGCCCTGCTGGGCAGCGTTCACCTTGCGCGGCTGCGTTTTGGTTCTGCCGACATGGCCAAGGCCAATAACGTCAACCCCAAAAGGCTCCGTCTGGGAAAAACATACTGTGGATGAACGAAATCCTGCACCACCTACAAATTCCTGGAAGGATGATTCCCCTGTAAATACCAATGAATCCATGGTTTCCCATGGATCCACACTATTTGCACCATTGAACACATTACTCATAATTTCAGAAAAGGGCCGCAAGTCCTTGAGGCTCTTTCCTGTTGACTTTTGATTGGTAAGCCTTCCAGTTGGTAACTGCCAACCAACACGAACCAACATTTATCCAAAATGGACCGACATGCGTCAAATGGCCAGGATTGATCACATTTAGCCAGACCAAGCCACAACATGGAAAACGGGTCGAATCCGAACCCTGGCAAGAAACAAAAACAATCTACCTGGAAATCACCCAGCATGGGGTATTCCAAACTCATGGGTGAATAAACAAAACCAAAATACCTGAGCATATCCCAACATGAGGTGATTTTACAGTTCTGGGTAAATACACGACTGAACATGACCCAACATAGGGGTGATTTCAGTCATTCAAAAAAAAACAATTTACATGGAAATAACGCTTTTGCCCATTTATCACCAGGGGAAAGGGAGAATTAGGGCGCTGGTCCCAACGCAAACCGAAAAAGCAGCCTGAATCACCCCTTGTGCTGCTTGATCCTCCGTGTCCAGCCCAGTTCTGGAGACAAGTGCGGAAATTTCTCGCGCCTGGATGTGGTACACGTACCTCAAAGATCCGCGGAATCCACCCTCCCTTAAAGAAGGGGGGGGCGTGGGGGCCCTCAATTCCACAATGGCGGCCTGCTTTTAGGGGTGACACCAACAGCCGTACACAGCCGATAGCCCTACGACACTCAAATTCCAAGGCTAAGGCGGGCGGGGATGCCGCTGAATGCCGCGCATTCCCTTTTTCTTCATGTCGGGTGACGCCCTGCAAGGAAATCATTGGCTGGGGCAATCCCTTTTTTTGTGTCTTTTTGAGGGCATCCCTTTAAAGGGAAACTGAGAAAAAAAAAGAAAAAAAACACTCCTTTTGGGGGTTCCCAGACACGCCCAGGTTCTCGCCGTTTCCAAAAGACCTGCAAGCCAGCCGAAGCATCAACATCGACACGCAACACATCAGGGCCCTTAGCAAAAAGCAACCAAGAACTGCCGATTGAGCCATGCCTTGTGGGCACAGGAGGTTTGCATCCTGCAATCCAGCTGGGTTCCATGAATGAGAAAGCCTTTACAGTGCTGATTTCCACCCCCTCGGCACACCCTAGAACACCTCCGTGTCCTACGCATAAATACATAAAATCAACAAATACATAAATACAACATGTATAGATTGCGCAAATTCCCCTTCCATATGATTCCGAAAGTTGCTGAAAGAAACCCAACAAAAGCAGACAGGTGAAAGAAGTCTGGCAGAGTGCCCCATACTTAAAGAACACCTCTTCCATACATTAGAAGCCAAACACCAGCAGAATCCACACGTTTGGAACCAAACCTTTCAAGGATGCCTGCTTTACTTTTTCAAAACAACAACCTAAACCTCCAGTTGTTTAAGCCCTCTGGACCAAAAAAAAGTATTTCCAATAGTGATAGATTCCCTTTAAACCCAACAGCGGAAATAAACACACATTCAATTTCAGTAAATGCAAGTAAACAAACGGCAAACTCCATACCCCCTTTTCCTCCAGCCAGGCGGCAGCTTCTCGACGTCCAGATTCTTGAACTCAGCGTTGGCCTCCGCGTTCCTGGCGGCTCCAAGAGTTGAGGAAACCTTGGGCACTGACAAGCGCTTGGGATGCCTTGGCACAGCAGGCTTGCCTTGGCTTCCCCCCAACAGCTCCTGAACCATCCCTAACCCACCCTAAACCCACCATTAACCCACCATTAGCCCACCCTAATCCAGCGCTAGACCATCCCCAAAGCACCCTAAACCCACCTTATGCCCACCCGAAACCAGCACTAAACCAGCCCTGGACCCGCAACCTTTCCTGGGTTTTGCGGCAGCATGCAGACAGCAGCATAGGCGTCCTTCTAGGGGACATAGATGGGCTTCCCTGGTAGATGATTATATAAGCCACCAGGTAAACCAGGGCCATCTATTTTTCTACCAAAACAACCAAAAAGGACACCTGTGGACAGCAGCATGTGCAGTGCCGCAGGTCCTCAGCAGGCCCAGCACGATCTTGCACGACTTCACCTCGCAGCTTTGCATTGGCTTCACGGCAGGGTTGAGCCCAAACACGAGGGACAGAGTTTCGTGTTGGACAGGGTTGCGCAAACCAAACCTCACTCACGGAAGCAAGCAGACCACATGGGGCTGGTTCAATATATATATATATATGTATATCTTTCAACACCCCACCGGGAAAAAACAACTCACTTTGCACTGGCTTCTGAAAAAGGTGATGTTTGCCACGAAAGTGGACTTGAGCCATAATCAAAACCTGGCAACAAATGGCCTACCCAAAACCATGTAAATAATTACAGGGGCGGATATCCACACCTACTTCTGGCTGGGACGGTCCCTTGCTTTAGCTTCCCCGAATTGGGGTTCTGATTTGTGAATCAGGTGAGTTTGGGTCGGATTCCTCCAAATTGACCACCCATGTTCCAAGGGAGCCCAAGATGGTGCAACAAAGAAACGCAAGGTAGGAGGATTAAGTGGTTTAAGTGGTTGATCATGTCACTTCCAGTCGAGTGAGCGGTGCCCTAATGGTGATGACCCCTCCAATGCAGACCCGCGGACCCTCTGGAGAACCCCCAAATCAGTCGCGACCCTTAGGGAGCCCAAAAAGCACCACCTTTGCAGGTTGTCTAAAGACCCGATCGGAAGGGTAGAATCTGGTCCCTGGCAGCGGGAAAGCAACCCAAACTGAATGTCTACCTTGGAGTGCTCATCCTTGAGAGACTCGCACAAAATCAGTCGGGACCCGGGTGGAGCATTTCAGCCGCCAGAGCCTGACTCGGCTTTAACCAGCCGAGTCACAGGCCAGCGGCCCTGGGTGGCTTTGAACTCCTTGGCCTGCGGGGTCCGGCCTTAGGCACCCACTCGACGCTGCCCTAAGCCAAACAGGGAACATACATGAACAGAAGGCGTAGTCGGAAGAGCACATTGAAGTCAGTGACTCACAAGGCTAACACAGGGAACATAAATGAACATAAGGCGTAGCGGGCTATTCTCCACATAAACCACTATTATAACTATTTGGGGTGAGGTCGTGTGAGGTCGTTATAATTCACCCAGATAGTCGGAAAAGCAAATTTAAGTCAGTGACTCATAAAACTAAACTCTTCAATGACCGGCTTTCACGGCTTTGGTCAGTCTATGCTGTCCGTCCCTTTCACCCGGAAGATCCCTGCCCCTTGAATGCGAAAAAAAGGTGTGTCTGTGTGTGTGTGTGTGTGTGCTATCTCAGTTGTTCAGTGACCCTAGAAAAAATGATTGGAGCCCTTTTTGGGGGGAAAACCATTGTTAGTGGGGCAGGCAAAAAAAAAAGAGAAACAGGGTGCCACTGCACAACTGATCTATTGTATGCTTGGGCCGCGTGAATCACGCACGAACCTATAGCGATAGCCAGCCACGCTCAGATCCCCACCGATGCACCCGCGGTACTTGCGGAAGACGATGCAGCGCTTCTTCTCGACCACGTCCTACCGGGGCCCAAAGTGTCGCGGCGCTTTACGTTTCGACAATGGAACACAAAGCCCATCACTAGGATGTGCATACGTAGGGTACACATAGAATCATATAAATGTCACCGAAACGAAGTAGCCTGGGTTTAAGTCGACTTTGGGTTGAAAAATGGAGCCTGAACCTTGGGAGATGTCTCAAACCGGTCGAGGTGCTAGCTAGTCGGGCCCCCGTCTTTAAAAGCGACAAAAGAGAAACACAAATGAAGAAAAATACACATTGAACAGATTTGAACTGCTTCACATTTCACCAGAATGCAACATTCCTAGGTCGCCAGGCAACTTACCTAATGAGAGTTCACAGAGACTGGCAATGCCAGGCTGGTCTGGAAGACTTGCTCAACTCCGAATAGGGTTGTCAATATCGACGGATCAATGAACCTGGCGGATTGAGAGGGGAGGCATTGCACGAAAAACAAGAAGGTTAGTTACCCCTTTCCAAGGCCGGGGACGTCCGTTGGCTTGTACATTGGTACATTGGCCAAGGGTTTCGGCTGTCTATATCTCGCGAACCGAATTTCATGAATCCCTAAGTGTCATGGGGACCTCGTTTCACCCCAAGCGCTCCTCATGAATAGTAATGTTACACCTCCTTTAGTAATAGTCCCCTCTCTAGTAGATGTTTTTCTATTTCAGGATCCCGAGACTGCTTTAGGGGTCCTCTATTGTGGACACTTTTTTGCTGGAAACAACGCTGGACAAAATATGGGCAACAAATCCTGGCGAACATTGGGAAATCCTTTTCTTGAAGTGGTCCCCAAACCATCGGGCAAACAGTCACACAAAGGGGGGTGCCCACAAGAGGCCCAGATCCGCTTTATTGTGACTGTTTTGGGGTCCTCTTTAGTGTCCAACTGGTTTGGGGGTTGCTGAAAAAACGGTCCTTGGCAATATGAAAGTAGAATTGGCAATGCTACAGTAAGTACTGGGAATCTGAGAGGGGGCCTTGGCAATACTAAAGTAGAATTGGCAATACTAAAGTAAGTACTGTCCCTCCCAGACCCCTAGGATTTTCGCTAAAGAGGGTCCAGCTGACTGGTTCCACTGTTGAGGGGGGGGCGTGGGGCCGTGTAAAGAGGGTCCAACATGATAGCGCATCGGCTTTGGATTCATCTGGAGGACCAACTATGGGATGGCTCCACCTTTTAACGGTGGACTCAATTGAATTCCACTGTACGGTCCTCTAGATTCATACGTTTCTTGCCCACCTCAACGGACGGGAAACCACGCTGCCGCCATGGGAGGAAGCCGACCAGGACAAGTAGTTTGCACAAAAGCTCTGCAAGGTGCATGAGACAGGTGAAGTAGCGATAGGAGCAGGTGACGCCCCCAATCGCCTTTCGTTTCAACCATGTGAGCAAAGAACTGGCTGCTTTTGGCAGTAACCCCAACAAATGAGCAGAACCAACGCAGCAGACACAACTGAAACGGATGCACGCCCCAAACTGGCTAGAAGCAACAAAACAACTGAACACGAAGTCAAGGCCGCACGAGACCACATCAGGTCAAGCCAAGATCACGCCACGAAGTGACACTGGATTTCCACTCCACTTGGTCCTGGAGGTACTTCTTGGCGGTCGCCAGGGTCATACCCTTGATGGCCTGGCCATCTGGGCAGGCACAAAGCCCCCACAAGTGGAGGGGTCTGGTTGTTTGCTGAAGGCCGCAATTGCCTGTGCTAGCCGATGGGGAGTATGCGCAGTGGCCAGGATGTGTTTCTTTTTCATGAAAGAGGGCCATTTTGCTTCTAGGGGGGGGGCCCTTAATCAGAATCCAAAGCAGGGCTCCTCATGTCCCGTGTCCCATGCTAACCCCTAACTGGAAAACACAAATCCAAGATAGCCACGCAAGTGATATCAAGTGTTTGATGTTCGAAACTGCGTGCCAGGGTCATCCCTGCTTTTGACACAGGGTCCAGCCGAACTGGTGAAAGGGGCCTCCCCTCCCTCCTCCTACCCTCCCCTCCCCTCCCCTCCCCTCCCCTCCCGTCCGCTCCCCTGGCTCCCTCCTTTCTCGCTCCTGTCTCCCTCCCTCTCTCCCTTTCTCCCGCCCTCCATCCCTCCCTCGCTCCTGTCTCGCTCATGTCTCCCTCCCTCTTTCCCTCCCCACCCCAGCTCCAAAAGACACACCTGCGCCGTCTCGTAGGTGTTCTTGTAGTGGACGCGGAGGTCCACACCCTGGGCCTGGCGATTCGCACCCCATGAACCGTCAAGCCTTAAGGTCTAAGGGTCGTATTTTGCGGGGAGCGAGTCCTGTCCGGGTGGTTTAAAACATTACTTTGTTCGGCCAGTTTAAGGTGATGTTTTTGAGGGGGAATATAGGGAGCCCTGCCTTATCATGGCGATGGTGTTTTATTGCATGGTACTCAAGGGCGACCAACCCCTGGCCCCTTTCAGGCTCCCAACCACCTGACTGAGGGGGAACGTAGAGCGCCCCTTGAGTTGGGTAGGCAGAAAAGGCAGCCCTTTCTGTTTGCCAGCGCCAGGAGTGTCCAAGCTGGGTCCTTACCCCGCCAGGTTTCCTCGCAATTTTCGGACACATGGAGAGTGTCGGAGCACTCTTTGAGGGGTTCCCTTTGTATTCTGGTCGAAAGGAGTGGGCTGGCCGACTGCCAATCCTTAGGTAGGTAGCATAAAAGAGCACGGACGTCCTAAAATGTGAACTTGCATGTGGCCGGCATCTTCATTTCCCTTTGAGCACCCTCCAAAACGGCGTCCCTGCGGTTGGGTGAATTGGTGAACAACTCTTCTTGCTTGGAAGAGGGCTCACGGGCTGAATTGGTGGATGGGTCCCACCAAAGAGGAGACTTTCTCTGGCCATCCCAGCGCCCATCGCTTACCCTCATCGGCCCCATCAGTTGGCCCGCTCCCGGCCTTGCATGCCTTGGTGGGGTTCTTAGCGTCACGAGAGAACTTCACCATCTTGTCAGAAGGCACAAGCAAAGACTCGAAGGTTCAGCTGGAATCACTTCACCGCTAAAAGCCGAGAAGGCGGATTCGGCGAAGCTGGCTTCCGTCCCTGAGCGGAACACAAGGAAACAACATTCAAGGAGCTTGCTTATTCCTTCCCCACATTCTAATTATTTGTGCAAAGCCTGAACGTCGTAAAACCAGCATCCTCGGATTTCAATCCTCGACACTTTACACGATCACCAAGCACGCATGATGCCGCATGATTCAGAAGGATCCTAGTTCTTTAAAAACAAACTAATCCAGAACGTGCACTTTCGAGGGTCCCCCCTTTGCAACCCCACATGACTTGGCTCCAAGATTCTCCAAGCCGCGACAAAGAACCCTGAGTCAAGGGGTTCTCAAGATGTGGAAGAGGTACATTCGCACAAACGCAAACCACACACACACACACACACACCAAGGGAAGTGCACGAACTACCTTTCAAACTAACTATTGTTTAGGATATTTTTCAAAAAAACAACAACAAATCATTATCAATATCAACTCTCTGGTTTATCTTCGGAAGTCAAACGATCGGGTTAACCTGACGGCATCGGGCCGCAACGGTTTCTCTTTTCCTCGCCGCTGGGCAGGACGCTTAGACCGGCGTGTTGTTCAGCTCCACAAGGGAGCTGTACTTGCCACCACCTCAGGATCCGAGAAAACCGAGTGCCACAGGGGCTCCAACTCTATGTCCAATTACAAGCATCGCTTAGCTCCTATACTTCCAACCTAAGACATCGCTGATGAGGCGCGCCTAATAACAATTGGACCGCCTATCCCAGCGCAGGAACGGACCCACCAAAACCCAAAGACTGCCTGATTGTGTGTCTTAAAATTGAAGAGCCCAAAAGCAATACCTTTTGCAAGGTTGCTCTAAAGACCTGATCGGCTCCCTGGCAACTGGAAAGCAAAGCAATCCAAACCGAATGTCTTTGAGAGGCTCGGAGGAGCGCTGGTTTCGGTTTGGGCGGTGTTTCCCTGTCCATGATTTGCAGAGTAGACTCTCATCACGATTCGAGCGCCCGGCTACTTGCGTACTCGTTGGGCAGGAATTCTTGGAATTGCCTGCGATACTGGTTGACACAACATGAGTGTGTCAAAATCGTAGATCAATTTGTTTGGTAGGTTTCCTTGGTTTCCCTTATTTTGTGTTTTTGTTCAAACAAACATTGAGGCTTGGTCATTGAAGGCTCGAAGCAACCCTGACAAGAGGGATACAGGCACATAAGGGACCTTCCAAATGCAACCGCCCTCAGGGTCCTGACAGATTTTGGGGCCTCAAAATGGGTTGTTTTTGAGGGCCCATGAGGGGTCGGGGCTCTCCATTGGAGGGTCCGGGGGTCTGCATTGGAGGGGTCATGACCTTTGGGGCGCTTGCTTTTCCTCCAGCCATGGCAAGTCTATGGATGCTTTCACAATCCCTTGCCTATGGAAGAGGCAGAACAATAACAAGTCTGGGCCAAGGAAACGATTTGGCCGAGGTGAAATAAGTGCATGTGCAAAGGAAGCTGCGTTAAATCATGGGTTGAGTCGTTTTGACTGAGTGAGGCTGCCCTCGTTTGCCTGGGTTGTGCCCCAATCACCGCACATGACTTGATGCACCTGAACGCAGTCTCGGACAAAGCCGGGCCTGCTGGCACACTTAATGGCTTGAACGACTTGTTTGCCCAGTTGCCAGGTAACGAACAGGACAATACAAGGGCTTAGATAATTATAACGAGGTTGTGGGGACGTTGACGCCAAAAAGGTCGTGGTTATAAGAAAACTCTGCGTATTCAAGCCTCTTATACGTATATAGTTGTTAGAGTTTGCCCCCAAAAGCTCCTGGGTTTGGGATGGGCCTGGATGGGCTCTAGGAGGCTTCAGGGAGGCTCCGAGGAAATTAGGTGGAATGTGCTTGGCCAATGCTGTTGCAAATGGTCTCGTTTGTTGGTTGACTTCGAAGGGAACCTAACCCTCAAGAAAAGACCAAGGGGCGCCGCTGGCCGACTAGGACAAGGAAGACACACCTCTCAATGCTTACGTCCCAGCCAAAAACAGTTGGAACATCTGACTTTCCAAATCATAGGTGAGGAGCTGAGTGAAACCGATATGACTGCAAGCAACCTGAAGGGATGCTTCAATAGCCTTGACATCCTTCAGCACCATTTTGAGCCACTTATAAATAAGCACCTATTTGTGGTTGGTACTATCCCTTACCACGTTGTGATTGTGGCTCATTTGATGGGGAAGGGGATTAAATAAAGGTTTCACATTTGGGAATGTGCCCAAGGGATCCTTCCGAGTGGTTGGCTTCTTTCTGGCTTCCCGTTTCTAACAGCACTGTCGCCAATATGATGTTTGACGCCCTGCAGTGCCCTCACGAAAACAAAAGCAACAAAAACAAGGCTCCCCCACACACAGCAAATAAAAACAAAACCTCCGCGATCCATTTCAGTAAAGCAACTATGGAAGACATCCAAAAACATCAAGGAATTGCCGCCCTGCGAAAAGCTTGGGCTACGACATGCTGTGACCGTGCCTCCATAAAGCTGGGCTTGGCTGGCCAGACTTAGACCCTTCAACAAGTGTTCACTTTTTGCTCTTACAAGCGCAAGCCTTCGGCAATGTTAAGGGCCAAGGGGTTTCTAATTAACCTCATCTACCTTCAAATCCCTACCGCTTTGAGGACCCTCCGGTGCCTTCAAACCCTCACGCCGGCCTGAGGTAGTTCACAATCTCCGCCAAGCTGGGTGAGCCAGGGAACCTGCGGCCCGCTGGTTCAAAGCGTCTCTTAAACAAACAAAAAACATGAACCGATAGGGGCCATGCAGAACCCGCTCCCTGGCCGTGGTTTTCTTTGCTCTATTGTCAAAGGTTTGGGGTATGTGCCTTTGATTTGCGGCTCCAACAGCGTATGGCAAAGTGAATTTCGATGGTTGAAAGATCCAACCGCCTGAACATGTTCAAAAGGTTTTCAGTCAAACATCACCCATAAATTTGCCCCAATCAAATCCTCAGCCAAACATGAGACTCACTTCAGCACCCATGTGATGTATCTACTGAAGGAAGATAGGCAAGCCCGCAACTTGAACATGGATTGCAAACCAAGAAACCACCATTCTTGACAACTGACCAAATGGCCAGCCTTTTGGGTCCCGACGACTCAGGATGCGGCACAAAACCGGTTTTCCCAGCCAAAGGGTAGCGATGGATTGATGAGTCCCATCGAGGAATCTAACATTTGCTAGTTAAAGGGAAAGAGTCAGTGTCTGAACCATCAGACAGATTGCAGGTCCGCCGGTCACACCAAAAGGCAACCAAGGGGTGCTGGATCTTAAGGGGCATGGCTTTGAAGGTCATTAAGAGGCGTGGGGTGTTGCCAGTTGCTGGTCGAAATGCAGTTGGTCTTTGACCCTAAGGCCAAAGCGTCTACTTGCACCATTTTCCATACACGGAGCAGGGCTGCTCAAGGTGCGCCAGGGGGGCGAGAACTCTCTCAGTTGCCCAAAAGACCTGGAAACAAAAGGCTAACCTTTTGGGGCCATGACTAAAAATGGACCAAAATGCGAAAACCAAAAGGTCAAAAGGTCGGCTTTGGGCAACTGAGCTCTTCAGAGCCTAAGGTTATCCTTCATCACCGTTTGTGGAGGAGAGCCCAGGGAAAGGATCGGGACTGTCTGGCCCGCTGAACTGACTGGTCAGAAGTTCAAACTTGTTTGGCCTTAGCTGACGAAAAACGATTCCAACCAAACTTGCTGGTGGAATGAGGGAATGTAAAAACCATCCAACTGGTGGCTTCCTTTGAGGGGACCCTGGGTTCATTCCCACATTCCCTACCTATCGCACCAGCAATCCCAAAAAGCTTGCCAACTCAAGTGGTAAGCTGTGGGGTAGACAAATTTCGTCTCGGAAGTCGCCCGCCCAGCTTCCACCCGGTGTTGGGTCCAATTGGATTGGCGACCAAAAACAGCCCTCCAAACAATATATTAGCTGACCTGCTGAGTACAGTTGACTGGTCAAAAGATTATTTTTTTTCGGGGCTTAAAAATATCTAATGACACCCACACAACAAGTGTTTCCAAGTCGGCCATCCCAAGGATAGCAGCCCCCAAAACAAAGGTGATCGTACTGTTCTAGCAGTGGGGATCTGAGGATGACGGTTTCCGTTTGGTCTCGCTTGAACCACTCCGCAGGCCCTTGTCCAACTTTCGGACACCCCCAGCCTTTTTGTCATTCCACCACCCCACCACCGAAACACTCGGCTTGGCTTCGTCTTTCCAGTCAGAGAATGATGAAAAGGGGCTCGCAAAAGGCTCAATCGTACTCTTTCGTCCCTGGAACGGAATCGCAAAGGCCTCTGAATGGGGAACCATGGGTGGGCGTTTCTTTGCTTTCCCAAAAAGTTCCAAGTTGTTTAGACACACCCTGCCCATTGCTTCCAAGGTGCATTTGAACCCATCGGCTCAGAAAGGAACTGAAGACATCGTTGTGGGGCACGTAGACGGCCTCCTCAATCCTTGCAATCCAAAAACCGGGAACTCCCATGGCAGGGTGTGCCAATGGGAGCAATGAATCCTAGCAGCAACCGTTGCATCATGAAAGCCTCAGTTGCACGTTGGCCGTGACCATTAGGGGCGGACCGCAACCATTAGTGGGTGGCTTGGATTGGAAACCACGCTTCGACCTGCAAACACTCCAAGCCAGAAAAAACAAAAAGGTCTCTGAGGCGCGGGGGGTCCGGCGGCGGCCAGAAGCCGCGCCGCGTGAGGTCTGGTAGGTCCAGCGTCCGCTGGTAGCCCGGCCTCGCTGTGCCACGTTGTGCGTGTTCTACCAGGCTCGCTGTGCCAAAGGAACGGAACGACTGGCAGCTAACACAGCCGGACTGCTAAAGCAAACAACAAAAGGAATCAAAGCAAGCAAAAGCAAGCAAACAACCCAAAAACAAACAAAACAATCCAACCACATCATCAGCAATTCAACAGATGTGGCATCCAGGTGCTACTGCACAATTCGCAGTTGTCTGTTGGGTATGCGCTCTATGTTGACAAACCCTGAACATGAACGAACACAGACAACTAATTTCCCGGCCTATCTTCGACAATCTGATGCAGGAAGGGCAAAGAGGGCAGGGCTTATCTTTTGAGCCATGTTCCCAAAAACTTAAGGGACTGGGTTCCTAATGTACAGGCCCATTCGAAGAATGGTTCCCGCGAAAAAAAAAAGAAAAAAGAAAAAAGATTCAGCTGGGAGGGCGGTCATCTTGGAACGCTATTTTGTGTGTGCGTTCTGTGGAACCCACCAAACAAACAGCGATTTAGAGGGTGGGAATCCATTGAACAACCGGAAAAGGGCAACCAAGTGTTCCCCACTATATAGGTTAAACCAACCCTCCTTTGGTTTTCCCTTTTCCCAGTGGCCGCGGCCTGTTTGATTGTTGGCTTGCCGAAGGAGCAAATTCGGGAAAATCATCGCCGAGGAGCACTTGCCAGGCTGTCATGTACATGGCCCGCAGGGAGTGGGGGCCAGCACAGCCCCCCTGCGAGGCCTGGCTTGGGCTTCCGGGTTGGCGGAGGATTGTTGGTGGGTTTGGTTGGAAGCTTCAGGCGCTCTGAATCCATATGCAACTTAGGGTGTTGCGGAGTTGCATGAAATGCAAATGCTGACCAGTTTAAGCGAGGGCCTTCAATTGGTGATTAGTGCCCAGAAACGGTGTGGTCCCTTCCATGTCCATCCTATGTCCTCCCCGGCTACCCCAAAA